ACAATGCCTCCTGGAATTTCTGATGGGGTGGTTCTGCAGCACCTCAATGCCACAATTTAGCCCTTAATGTGCCTCTTCTAATCAATGAGATCTGTGTTAATTTAATGTTCCCTGCAATAGCATACATATTTGTATCAGAACTTTTAGTATTTCAGATCTCAGAAAATTACAAAGTGAAAGTTATGAGCTTTCTCTGTAATGTTAACGGATAAAATGTTTCTCCAGAATTTTCATTGAAATGTATACAGTAAACTAGAGATCCTGACATGTCAGTGAATTTCAGCTCTCTTTTCAACACAGAATTTAGTTCTGCATTTGAGTTTTTTTCAGAGCTCAGTTCTCTGTAATAAAAAACAGAGGGTTGTGCATTATACTCTGCATTCCATTAAGTGGAACCTAATGACCATAGTAAATTTTTCCAGTCTCATAAACAAAGGCATTCCCATTTTTACTGAGCCACTTTTCAGAGACTCAAGCTGTTAAACATTTTAAACTTTAAAATGAGCCGTGTGTGGTTTTTTTAGTGAAGAAGAAAATGTCTGAACTTAATATAAAAAAGGAAAGAAGTGAAGTATTTTTGTGAGACAAGAAAACCGAGAGATAATAATGTTTAACTTTGTTTGAATAGCTAAACACTTTCTTTCTTTCTTTCTTTCTTTCTTTCTTTCTTTCTTTCTTTCTTTCTTTCTTTCTTTCTTTCTTTCCACTGAGCACCTACCTACAACTTCATTCAGCTCTTTAATGATCAGTATAAAATATTTACTACATGCTCTTTTTCAGTCTCAAGTTATAAATAAAGGACAGAAGTTGGAGCAGCTTAGTTCAAAAGTTTCAGATCTCAAAGAACTGACCAATAGTCAAGAGTCACCTGCAGATCTTCAGGTAAGATATAGCTGTCACTCATCACAATCTGTATCCTTCTGAAATTGTGCTCCTTCTGTATAGCCTTTATATTTGGGGGAACATATTACACTTGCCAGTATTTTGCTAATTTTTCTTCCTATTGAGAGAGTTCTGAAATAGTTACTGACACTGTTTCTGAACAAGAATATTGTAGAATACAGAGGGGTTGAAGTTTTATAAGCACTTGCCGCCATCTGAATTTAGAGATAGCTTCTTATTTGAAAGGTAGTGTTGCAGTGGAGCATATGGGTAATTATGTTGGCCTACTTTACAAAACCAAGAAACAGCACATTGGATTCAAATCTGTGCATCAAGCCAAATATTATTAGAAATTGGCCAAAACAGGAACCTCGAATCCCCATTTACTGTTTTTTGTTACTTTGGGGGTCTGATTCAGATGAAGACTCATTTTTTTTAATGACTCCAATGTTGAATCTCAGAGAGGGAGACTAACTTTTTAATTTTCTCGGAGTTGGATAGCCATTCATTCAGGATTAAATTCTGGCTCTATTGAAGTCAGAGACAAAAATTGCATTGACTTCAGTGGAGCCAGGATTTCATGCTCAGTGCCTGCCATTTTCATTTACTTTAAATATTTGTAGCCATTCACATAAAAAGAGAGCGAGAAAAAAAGGGGGCCTCACATCCCACTTTTCCTTTTCTCCATTTGTTATACCATGTGAACTGCCCATTAGTTATAATACTAGGCCCAAGTGATTCACTGTAGTGCTCTAATGTATGAAATTTTGATTTTAGTTCCTAGAAGCAGATTTAAGGCAAAAATTGGAACATGCCAAAGAAATGTCTGAGACAGCAAAAGAGACACTGGAAGATTTCAGTACTCAGAAGATGCAGATACTAAAGTTTATAGATCACATGACAGACTGGCTCAGAAAAGTAGAAGAGTCACTGTTAAACTGTGCTTGTAACCAGGATCCCAAGAGTCTAGGTAAAGTGAAGGTAAGGGTTACAGAAGATATACTTTCTATTGCATAGTGGCTACTGTATTTAATTCTAGCATAGTTTTACCTGATTGGTCATAATGGCTGTCAATGTATTAAAATGTACATGTTAATTTTAATCTGATCAGTTTAAAACTATCCATTTTTATGCTTTAGGATATCAATGAAGAACCGTCTGTCATATTGTTAAAGAAGTGAACAGCATTACTGATCTTCATTTTTTCTCATTGTATTGCAAAGCTTTTGGAGAAATGAAATGAATAGCAGTGTCTTTATTGTGACAGGAACTAATGTTGTTTCATCAAACTGTTTTCAGTCATTGCTTTAGAATATTTGCTATCCTGTTTTTTGTCTTTCTAATTGTTGTGAATATGGAGCTCATGCAATTAAGAGATTAAGAGCTCGGGTAGAACTCAGCATAATATTAGGTTCTATCCTAATGCACCTCAGTTGCCACCTGCAGCACCTCTGCTATGTAAATCCTAGACTCTGTGAATGCTGACTACCACGCCTGGCCATATTGTGACAAAAAGCATGGAGGTTTTTGTGGTGTAAATAAATGGCAAGTCTGATGAAACAGCCACTCTCAACTTCAGCTTTGATATAAATTTAGCTTTGTATGCTGTTCCCCAGATGGATAAAGGCAATGCTAATGATCCTCCCCCTCTCTCCCAAACTCACATTGCTTTCCTAATGTACCTTTAAACTGGGCAGAAAAATGCCAGTAAAACTTTTTTTTCTGGAATTTGCCAGTTTGTCAAAATAGAAATGTTTTCCAGAGATGGTTTGATTTCTATAAAGTTCTGATGGGACACAGGCTGGGGTCAATGGAACCCTGTCAGCCAGGCAGGTTTTGATCAAAAACTGATCTGGTTTCCTGCCAGCTTGCCCGCCTGGCTCCTCATCAACAGATGTCAGAGAACCCAGTGCTTCTGGGGTCCATAGCTCTGGGGCTGCCCACCAGATGGACTGCCCTGGAGCTCGATCTCATTTAATGGAAAATGTCCAAAAAAATGTTTTTTTTGTTCCAAAGCAGAATGAAACCAAACTTTGAAATATCAAAATCCTCCATTAATGGAATTATCTTTCTCCACACAGCTCTATTGTACCCCAAATGAACCCTCATTGTTGACTGCAAATAAACATTATTTTCAGTTGCACTTTGAAAAATATATTTTAAAAAAATTGACAGTGGTGAATGCTAAAAAGTTCCATTTTTCTGTGCTGATTTGACATTCTCTAGGAGCCATTTCAGTTGGGAAATATCAGGAAATTGTATAATCTAGTACCCTGTTCCTCAATTCCCTCCACAAATTCCTTGCTGCAGAGTGCTCTCGGTAGCTGCAACAAGTGACTGGATGAAGGGCAGCAGAGCAGGAAAGTAGAGGAAATAGGCAGCTGTTTTGTTTAGCTGGGCATGTCGCACTGATGATGCAGTCTCATCTTTTAGGAAACACAAAAAGAGCTTCAGGTCCAGCAGAGCAGCATCGATTCGACTCGGGAGAACCTCAATAGCTTGTGCCGCAAGTACCACACAGTGGAACTGGAGACTCTGGGTTGCACTGTCACTTCATTGATACAGAAGTACGAAGCTGTGACCCAACTGTGTTCCAGAACGCAGGCCAGCATGCAGGACTCCCTGGAGAAACACGTCCTCAGTGAGTCTGAGTGCCTGTTAAGATGAGCTGGTAGACCGCAGCCATGAATCAGACTGCCTCAGAAGATTCTGCCAGAGAGTGTTGGTGAAAAGTTTCCGTTGACATCATTTATAGTTACACTCTTGTTCTTGTATAGAGACTTTCCTAAAAGTGCTTTCACCAAATGCTAGTTTCAATGTCTGTTGCAAACTGAAGGGTTTACAAAAACAAAATTCAACCTCATTTAATACATGCAGTCCTCATGACAGGAGTTCCAATTAGGCCTTCCCTGATGAAATCCTCCTATGTTTCTCGTCTTCCACTTAGTCCCATTTTAATCCCCCTTGTTATAAAACATCTCTTTATAGCACTCAAATGCTCTGTATAGTCTGTCACCAAGGACAGTCTCATGGTGCCTGTTGCAAAGGCCATTGAAGTCAATAAGGGTCTTTCATTTAGCTCCAACAGGCTTTGGATCAGGCACCTAACGAGAGATGATGAGATATCTGCACTGGTATTTTGGATTGTACAAGTGTAAAATGCCTTTTTTGGAAACTTATTCCTATCTTCTGTTTCTTTTTAAAAGCTTCTATGCAGGAATTCCAGGAGTGGTTTTCAGGTATGAAGGAAGCAGTAAAAGAGTCATCTGATAGGTCTGGGGACAGCAAAGCCATAGAAGCAAAGCTGCATGATTTGCAGGTAGAGTTATCAAATCAAGACGTGATAATTAGCTCCTTTTGGTAATTTGCATCCATGTCTTATCTAATTTATATCTACAGAAATCTGACAAATCCATTTTTTTCTAGAAAGAAAATATAAAAATGGCTCCAAATAGCAATAAATTACTGTACCGTATCCAAAAGATGTCAACCAAATGTATTTCAGCTTGTCGGATTTTTTGTTCTGTTAAAACCCTTCTTCCTTCCTCTCTGCACATTTCTATATCCTATTTTCTCCTTTGTCTCTGTCTTCCTCTCACTCTGTCCCTTACCCCTTTCCTATCTTTCCCTACAATATCTTTCTTCTTCCCACTCTTTCACACTTTATTGCTCACTCCCTCCTTGAGATATACAATACTATGATTTACAGTATTAGGACTTCCTTGATCTGATTTGTCATGGAAAAGAGCACAAACAGGGCAAAAGCTGCTCCAATTCTTGTAAATAACCCTAATCCCTAAAATGTCTGCCCATAGTCTTGGAGATTACATAAAACAGGCAGAAAGGGCTGGGGATGTACTGGGAACAGACAGGAATTGTCCATTCTGTCCATCATAGATTTTAATAAAATGGTCCAGTTGTAATCAGTTCCACTGCTGAACTTCTTGGGGAAGTCTGGCCATCTCTAGTGTATACAGTGCTTCCTTAGCTATTGGCTAATCCTGCTAGTTTAAACTGTACTCTTTTCTCACACAGAGAGTGTTGGACTCGATTAGTGAGGGACAGAACAAACTAGATGCTGTCTCCACGCAAGGAGAAAATGTGTATGCTTACTTACCCAAACCAGTTGTGAGCAGTATCCAGGAGCAGATAGCAAAGTCACACCAGGACTTCCAGGGGTTCCTGAAACAATGCCTGAAAGATAAAGAGGCTCTGGAAGACTGTGCCTCAGAACTGGGAAGGTGGGTTATTGCAACAGAACCAGATGCTCTGCAGAATTTTATTATAAAATGGCTTAGAGGTGGGGCACTACACTGGATGCTGAAATTTTCAGACTGTGGGGATATAGATGATGATTTGAGATTAAAACTTGCAGTTAAAGAAGTAATAACTATGGGCCTGTTCACCCCCTCCTCTGGAGAGAAGTTCAGAGAATCATCTCTGTGCTAATAATTTTGGAAAAACAATTGGGCTTTGTATGTTAGATTAAACAAACTCAAAAGCCAAAGGCTTTAAGGTATTTATTAGCTCAGAATATGTTTACTGCTAAAGTAACAGGAAGAGTATTAGTGGGTAGTTGGATGAAACAGCAAGATGAGATCAGATGGAAATTTCATGTGTGCCTGCATGTGCATTAAAGTAAGATTTTCAAAAATAGGAAACTAAAGTAGACTCCTAAATGCATGGCCTTATTTTTCAGAAGTGCTGATCATCCAGAAACTCCTGTTAACCTCATTGGGTGCACAATACTTTTTAAAATCTGGCCACTTGTTTATTTATGTGCTTACGTTTGATCTTAAGAGCCTAATTTTAGACATCTTTTAAAAACAAACTTGGGTTAAATTTTAATTACAAGCAAGATTTGGAGAGACTATTTTTTTTAGCCTCCTTATCTTTACTGAATATAGAACGTAATAAATACAAGCACTGTCACCTTAAATTTTGGAAGGTTCTTTTCCCGCCGTAATTCCCATGATCTTGCTGAACATTTTCAGAGCCCTGCTGAATATTTTTAGACTAGTTGTCACTGCAGAAGTATGCTGTGTGTGGAGCTCTCATTCACTAAAAGTTCAAGTGGTATCCAGCCTGCTTTTCTACTCTACTGGATATGCATTATACCGTATAAACTCAATAGTATCTTTGCACACCTAGGAATTGCTTTTGAAGGGATATTTTTCTGTTCCGTAGCTTTGAGGATCAGCACAAGAAACTGGCCCTGTGGATCCGGGAAATGGAGGAAAGAATATGTACTGAAGCACTAGGAGAGAGCAAACAGCACATCCCAGAGAAGAAAAATGAGGTGCAGAAAGTGGAAAATTTTCTTGAAGAATTACTGGCTGCAAGGTATAAAAACACGTTTTCTAATGTCCTGTTGTCAGCGTTCTTTTTTCCTTCTGTTCAGCCATAGTTAAATGAACGGACTGGTAGTATGAGAGAGAAGTGCTGGAGGATGCAGTGTGTCAAAGGAACAGCGTACAAGAGGCTCTGTCCAAACAGCTCCAGATTTGGGGGAAATTTGAATCTGGATCCAAACTTAACGGCTTAGGCTCATTTCTATTTAAGGGGAAGTTGAGGTAACTTTGTTAGTAAAGATGATCTGCACAGCATTAGAGCGCAGCATCCTCAGCTTTAGCAATATGGTTTAGATGTCCCCCAAAAGTCACGCTAATAGTAATAGTCATCACATTGTCCATTAAAAAGTTTTGTTTTCTTGCTTTTGCCCCATGGCATCCAGTTCCACTTGGATTGCACGCTCATATGCTGCCTGCCACACACTGTGCCCATGAAGCCTCTCAGCCATGGAATCCTACTTGCGTTGGGAATCAGCCAGTGGATGACGAGGTAATTGCCATTTTTAGTATACTGTGTAGTTGTGCAAACATTTTATAGTTTGTTGGAAAAGGTAGAAAAAAATATTATTCAATTGTTTTGCTAAACCTCACAGTATACTAAAAGAAGGCACTTACTCAATCCTCATCCATCTGTGGCTGTTCCAGCAGGGTTTTTGTCTGATGTGACTTGAACATAGTACATACAGGAACAAGAGGGAGGATGATCCAGTGGTTTAGGACTTGGGAGACCTGGATTCAGTTTTCTGTTCTGCACAGACTTCCTATGTGACCTTGGGCAAGTCACTTAGCTCTGCTTTCCTGTGTCTTGATTTCCCCAGTCATTAAATGGGGATAATGATACTTCCCTACCTCGCAGGTTCTGAAGTGCTCTGATACTACTGTAATGGGAGCCAGATAAATATTTAAGATAGATTACCTGTTGGAGAGGGAATTGGCAATATCAGTAGAGGTGGATGTAATGGGAAATAAAATTAGAATGTGCTGATCTCTGCTTTTAGCTTGATTACTGTTGGCATCAAACAGTTATTCTTAACGCAAGAGTGTAGACCCTCATTAATGTTATTTATGTTACTTTACATCAATATATAAGTCTGATATTATACACTCAAATTTGGCTTTGTTCAGATAACTTTTCCAGCAACCATGAGTTGTCTGACTGCAGTCAAACTTGGTTATGTTGGCAGCATTAAGTAATTTTCCATCCTCACTATAGCAATAACAGTTCAAGTGGTTTCTAAATTTAAATGTCAATCTCAAATCTTTCTTTTAGAGAATCCTTTGCTAAACTTTCCCAGAGGGCACAAGCTTTAAATGAAGAAGGACACGGTGCTGGGAGGGAAGTACGTCTGGCTTCGCAAAACCTTACCAGCTATCAAAACCTAGTCAAAACTGTCAAGGAGAAGTTGCGAACATGTCAGGTTGCACTCCAGGAGCATCAAGCCTTGGCGGAAGCACTACAGAGTATGTGGTCCTGGGTGAAAGATGTTCAAGATAAGCTGGCTTCTGCAGAGAGCACTGTTGGCAGCAAAACAACATTAGAGAGGCGGCTGATGCAAATTCAGGTAAAGCACCGGGCTACATGAGCTAGCGCATCAGGTCAAAATTGCATTGGAGTTTAATTCATGCCACACTCACACAGCTTAGGGGCTTAAGCTATTCATTAGCTGCAGAAAAGGACCTGGGGATTACAGTGGACGAGAAGCTGGATATGTGTCAGCAGTGTGCCCTCGTTGCCAAGAAGGCCAACGGCATATTGGGCTGTATTAGCAGGAGCGTTGCCAGCCGATTGAGGGAAGTGATTATTCCCTCTATTTGGCACTGGTGAGGCTACACCTGGAGTATCACATCCAGTTTTGGTCCCCCCACTACAGAAGGGATGTGGACAAATTGAAGAGAGTCCAGCGGAGGGCAACGAAAATGATTAGGGGGGTGGGGCACGTGACTTAATGAGGAGAGGCTGAGGGAACTGGGGTTATTTAGTCTGCAGAAGAGAAGAGTGATGGGGGGATTTGATAGCAGCCTTCAACTACCTGAAGGGGGGTTCCAAAGACGATGGAGCTGGGCTGTTCTCAGTGGTGGAATATGACAGAACAAGAAGCAATGGTCTCAAGTTGCAGTGTGGGAGGTCTAGGTTGGATATTAGGAAACACTGTTTCACCAGGAGGGTGGTGAAGCACTGGAATGGGTTACTTAGGGAAGTGGTGGAATCTCCATCCTTAGAGATTTTTAAGGCCTGGCTTGACAAAGTCTTGGCTGGGATGATTTAGTTGGTGTTGGTCCTGCTTTGAGCCGGGGATTGAACTAGATGACCTCCTGAGGTCTCTTTCAACCCTAATCTTTTATGATTCTATGATTAGCTGCTGCAAAATAGGCAAATGCCTTAGGAGGCACCAGGTGGCACTTGTATGGCTTTATGCTTTGCTGCTACAGCACTTCTGCATAAATATAAATGGAGAGATGAAATGGGTGAAGTAATATTTTTCATTGGAGCAAGCAACTTTTCTTGGTGAAAGAAGGAAGGTTTCAAACTTACATAGAGGCAGTCCTGAGCAAGTATGGTCCAGGCTGAGTAGGGATGCACAGGAGTATGGTTCAGAAGGGGTAAATCAACTAAATTACAATGGTGAATATTGCTAGAGGAGTAGCGTTTGGAGGTTTCCTTTATGTTTTCTGGCTGGTTGGATTTGATACATGTGATCCTTTTTGTTGCACAGGAGATCCTTTTAATGAAAGGTGAAGGTGAAGTTAAGTTGAACATGGCCATTGGTAAAGGTGAACAGGCCCTTAGAAGCAGTAATGAGGAAGGGCAGAAGATGATACAGACCCAGTTACAAACGTTAAAGGATGTATGGAATGATATCATCAACACTTCAATGAGCTGTCAGAGGTAAACTCACTTTAACTTTCTTTAAACGTAGGGCCAGATTCTGACATCCTTTCTCCCAGTGATAAGTACCTTACACAGCAAGTAGTTCCGCTGATGAATACTTGAAATGTAATGTGCTGCTCGAAGTGACTAATGCTGGCAGAATCTGGCCCAGAATGAAATGTAATTTAGAAGTGCTTATCTGAGAAAAAATACGGAGAAAGGCAGTGTTGTGGTTCCGCTGCTTGAGTTCAGAGTTCAGTGTAAACTGGTCACTGCAAAAATACTTCCCTCAATAAGAAAACTCTCACAATTCAGTGTGCTTGGTAGTCTGAGAGGACTAGGACTGAGTAGTCAAAAGTTGTCAGTTTTTAAATAATTACTGAACTGGTGCACTTTTTATTATTGTTTTGAGAGGAGGGCTGTTTTTTTATTCAGGAGTCAGGATTAATGTACATTGGAGTTTCATGTGAAACCTGCAGAACACTTCCTTGTCTGAAGTTTGTCAATGTTACCCAAGTATCTCATTTATTAGCACTTCCCCCAACCCCATTCCACAACTCCAATAGAGATGTGTGCGGAAGTTTACAATGACAAAGTTTATCTAAATTTTCACTTTGATTGTGTGACTAAATTCACCCCAGTTTATGCCGGCTCCAACTGACATAAACTTGGGGTGAAATCCTGGTCTTTTAGCCCTGGTCTACACTAGGACTTTAGGTCGAATTTAGCAGCGTTAAATCGATGTAAACCTGCACCCATCCACACGATGAAGCCCTTTTTTTCGACTTAAAGGGCTCTTAAAATCTATTTCCTTACTCCACCCTGACAAGTGGATTAGTGCTTAAATCGGCCTTGCCGGGTCGAATTTGGGGAACTGTGGACACAATTCGACGGTATTGGCCTCCGGGAGCTATCCCAGAGTGTTCTGTTGTGACCGCTCTGGACAGCACTCTCAACTCAGATGCACTGGCCAG